CTTTCTTCCAGCAATGGAGTCCTCCTGGGTCTTCTACCTTTAAGCCCACCGCCATTCAAAAAACGATGGATGTGCAATCAGACACTGATGTACCTTCACCTTGGAGTTCCTCCAGAGTATCTCTTTGGAAGTTGTTCTTTGTCTGCTGCTCACATTGTCCTTCTGGTCAGTCTGCGGTCGATTTCCTCTTGTTGGTGGTTGGTACATCCTCATGGACATTGAACTTCCTAAAATGATTGCAGACCGTAGTCATAGGAACATCGAGCTGCTTGGAGATGGCCTCATTGACTTTTGTTTCCACATCCTGGTCTAGACTTTTCTCTCTGATCTCCTCAAACTCTTTCCTTTGCTTTCTCATAATTAGTGTGGTGCATACTATGGGGTATAATGGATGGGCAGAGGGGGGATTGGGGTATCATAGGGGGACAGAGGGGGGATTGGGGTATCATAGGGGGACAGAGGGGGGGGATTGGGGTATCATAGGGGGACAGAGGGAGGATTGGGGTATCATAGTGGGGACAGAGGGGGGATCGGGGTATCATAGTGGGACAGAGGGAGGATTGGGGTATCATAGGGGGACAGAGGGGGGATTGGGGTATCATAGGGGGACAGAGGGGGGATTGGGGTATCATAGGGGGACAGAGGGAGGATTGGGGTATCATAGTGGGACAGAGGGAGGATTGGGGTATCATAGTGGGACAGAGGGAGGATTGGGGTATCATAGTGGGACAGAGGGAGGATTGGGGTATCATAGTGGGACAGAGGGAGGATTGGGGGTATCATAGTGGGACAGAGGGAGGATTGGGGTATCATAGTGGGACAGAGGGAGGATTGGGGTATCATAGGGGGACAGAGGGAGGATTGGGGTATCATAGTGGGACAGAGGGAGGATTGGGGTATCATAGTGGGGACAGAGGGGGGATCGGGGTATCATAGGGGGACAGAGGGAGGATTGGGGTATCATAGTGGGGACAGAGGGGGGATTGGGGTATCATAGGGGGACAGAGGGAGGGTTGGGTATATTGTAGAGACAAAGGGTGGATTGAGTGTAGTAGAACAGAGGGAGGTATTGGGGGTACAAAAGAGGGACACAGGGAAGGATTTAGGATGTAACAGAAGGGCAGTGGGAGGGGTTAAGGCACAGTATGACGGGACAGGGGGTATAGTATAGGGACAGAGGGGGGATTGGGATATAATAGAGGAATTGAGGGAGGATTGTGGGGTATAATAGAGGGACAGAGGGGGGGGATTGGAGTATAATAGAGGAGCAGAGGGGGGATTGGGGTATAATAGAGGAGCAGCAGAGAGGGGATTTGGGTGTAATAGAGGCGCAGAGGAGAGACTGGGGTATAATAGAGGGATAGATAAAAAGGATTGGGGTTAATAGAGGGGCAGAGGGGGGATTGGGGTATAATAGAGGGGCAGAGGGGGGGGGGGGGCGGGTTGGGGTGTAATAGAGTGATAGACAAAAGGATTGGGTTATAATAGAGATACAGAGGGGAGGATTGGGGTTTAATAGAGGAACAGAGGGGGGATTGGGGTGTAATAAAGGGATGGGGGGTTGGGGTACAGTAGAGGGACAGAGGGAGGATTGGGGTATAATAGAGGAACAGATGGGGATTGGGGTACAATAGGACCATAGGGGGGGGGGGCGTTGGGGTATAGTATAGGGACAGAGGGGGGATTGGGCTGTAATAGAGGAACAGAGGGGGGATTGGGGTGTAATAAAGGGACGGGGGGGATTGGGGTACAGTAGAGGGACAGGGGAAGGATTGGGGTACAAAAGAGAAACAGAGGGGGGATTGGGGGTGTAATAGAGGAACGGGGGGGGGGGGGTTGGGGTATAGTATAGTATAGGGACAGAGGGGGGATTGGGGTGTAATAGAGGAACAGAAGGGATTGGGGTACAATAGAGGAACAGATGGGGGATTGGGGTATAATAGAGGGACAGAGGGGGGATTGGGGTACAATAGTGGGACAGAGGGGGGATTGGGGTACAATAGTGGGACAGAGGGGGGATTGGGGTATAATAGGGAGACAGAGGGGGGATTGGGGTGTAATAGAGGAACACAGAGGGGGGATTGGGGTAGAGTAGAGGAGCAGAGGGGGGATTGGGGTATAATAGAGAGGCAAAGGGGGGGGGGGGTATAGTAGAGGGACAGAGGGAGGATTGGGGTATAATAGAGATACAGAGGAGGGACTGGGGTATAGTATAGGGACAGAGGGGGGACTGGGGGTGTAATAGAGGAACAGATGGGGATTGGGGTATAGTAGAGGACCAGAGGGGGGCGTGATCACTCTGGGGGGGAGGGGAGAAGGTTGTTTTGTCATGGAGGAAGTGGAGTCAGTGGCCACACTGGGAGTTGTAGTGGATGTCCTGTAGTCAGTGGCCATGCTGGGAATTTTAGTGGTTGTTCTTTAGTCAGTGGCCACACTGGGGGTTGTAGTGGATGTTCTGTAGTCAGTGGCCACGCTGGGAGTTGTAGTGGATGTCCTGTAGTCAGTGGCCATGCTGGGAATTTTAGTGGTTGTTCTTTAGTCAGTGGCCACACTGGGGGTTGTAGTGGATGTCCTGTAGTCAGTGGCCACACTGGGGGTTGTAGTGGATGTTCTGTAGTCAGTGGCCACGCTGGGAGTTGTAGTGGATGTCCTGTAGTCAGTGGCCATGCTGGGGTTGTTAGTAGTGGATGTTCTGTAGTCAGTGGCCACACTGGGGGTTGTAGTGGATGTCCTGTAGTCAGTGGCCACACTGGGAGTTGTAGTGGATGTCCTGTAGTCAGTGGCCACACTGGGGGTTGCAGTGGATGTTCTGTAGTCAGTGGCCACACTGGGGGTTGTAGTGGATGTCATGTAGTCAGTGGCCACACTGGGGGTTGTAGTGGATGTCCTGTAGTCAGTGGCCATGCTGGGAATTTTAGTGGATGTTCTTTAGTCCGTGGCCACACTGGGGGTTGTAGTGGATGTTCTGTAGTGTGTGCCGTGTGAGGCCACGTCTCAGGTGTGTAGGATTCATGGAACTTCGGTGACCCGCAGATGTTTCTGTTTATATTGTCTTTTTACAGTTTGTATAATGGGAAGATCAGAGGAAAGGTCGTTGCAGACGGACACACCCAGTGTTAACCTGTTTCATTCCCTGTCCGCCCGATTCCCCTTCCCTGTATTCTGTTTTTTTCTGTGGAACACTTGAATCCTGATCAGTGACCTCGGCTGTGGAAGACATTAATTCAGGTTAATTTGGGGGGTAAAATACGAACGCTTGTTTAAAAAAAAAAAAAAAAAAAAACTTTTGCAGGCCGGCTGTATCTAACAATATGTGTAAATCAAAGGAGACTGTCCTCTGTACATATGTAGTGAGCGCAGAATGTTGTTTATTACAATGTATCCATGAATGAAGCCTGCAGACAGCTCCATTCACATAGGCGCACAGAGCGGGCCAGCCTGCCCCACAGGATCACAGCCAATGGGGGGGGGCGATGGCTCTCTATACAAGTTACAATTTTTGTACAATAAACTTTCGATTTACCAGAACTATGTAATATGAAGACCTACCTGAACTATCCAATGGGCCACCGATCATGTGACAGCCAATCACAGTGGTCACGCGACCGTCCAGTCTTCCCTGCCCCCGTGTTCAGAACTTTTTTAAAGGGACGCCGGGTTAGGCAGGAAGGGGTTAAGCTGACATACATGTGTGACGGTTTGTAGCATCATAGAGGCGCTTCAATCACCAGATTCCAGATAACGTCTTATCATTCAGGGTCCAACCGCTGTGCTCAGGCAGTCAGCGCCATGCATTGGCTGTGAACCCGAACATCACGGCGTGCCGCTCGCTCCTAGTAATGTAAGCAGGCGTTATTTTTAATACTTTTATTATTTTCATGCTATGTTCCATCTCAATGCTGCTACTCTCCTGCAGCCTACTTGCAGCTCCTTCCTTTACGGCATTTCTCAGGATTGGTTTCCTGATGGTGACAACGGTGGACCCTGTCTGTGTTGAATCTTGTAGTCTCCCATTAGCAGCCTGTGGTGATAAAATGTTCTGTAGTCAGTGGCCATGCTGGGAGTTGTATTGGAAGTTCTGTAGTCAGTGGCCATGCTGGGAGTTGTATTGGAAGTTCTGTAGTCAGTGGCCATGCTGGGAGTTGTAGTGGATGTTATGTAATCAATGGCCATGCTGGGAGTCGTAGTGGATGTTCTGTAGTGAGTGGCCATGCTGGGAGTTGTTGTGGATGTTCTATAGTCAGTGGCCATGCTGGGAGTCGTAGTGGATGTTCTGTAGTCAGTGGCCATGCTGGGAGTCATAGTGGATGTTCTGTAGTCAGTGGCCATGCTGGGAGTTGTAGTGGATGTTCTATAGTCAGTGGCCATGCTGGGAGTTGTAGTGGATGTTATGTAGTCAGCGGCCATGCTCGGAGTCGTAGTGGATGTTCTGTAGTCGGTGGCCATGCTGGGAGTCGTAGTGGATGTTCTGTAGTCAGTGGCCATGCTGGGAGTCGTAGTGGATGTTCTGTAGTCAGTGGCCATGCTGGGAGTTGTAGTGGATGTTCTGTAGTCAGTGGCCATGCTGGGAGTTTTAGTGGATGTCCTGTAGTCAGTGGCCATGCTGGGAGTTGTAGTGGATGTTCTGTAGTCAGTGGCCATGCTGGGAGTCGTAGTGGATGTTCTGTAGTCAGTGGCCATGCTGGGAGTTGTAGTGAATGTTCTGTAGTCAGTGGCCATGCTGGGAGTTGTAGTGGATGTTCTGTAGTTAGTGGCCATTCTGGGAGTTGTAGTGGATGTTCAACAGCCAGTGGAAACGTTGGACGTTGTAGTGGATGTACGGCAATCAGTGGCTACGTTGGACATTGTAGTGGATGTCGTGCAGTCAGTGGTCACACTGGGAGTTGTAGTGGATGTTCTGTAGTCGATGGCAGTTCTGGGAGTTGTAGTTCTGTGTTTGGTGTGGCAGTTGGGTGACAGTAGGTCTGATTATAACACATTGCTCTCTCTCTCTCTCTGCAGGTCTCTGCTGCTTTTTCTGGTCCTCCTCTTGGGGGGTCTCAGCAGAAGATCCCCCCCCTGCCATCTCCACCCAGGACTCATGGGGGGAGTTCTGGATGGTACGTTTCTTTTTAAATATCGCCGGGTATGGGACAGTACTGATACCAGGATATATACTCATACAGTACTTCAAACGCAACAACTACCTGGAGACCGGTAAGTGCGCGTCACACGTGTCTCATGCTCCATCCCTCTTTCAGTGTATTCTCTGTTCTTTGTATCTCTATACATTCTTTTTGTCTGTCACCATTATTGTTGTGTTTCTCTTCAGTGGATGAGGAGACGTTCTTGTTCTATCTTTCTGTGTCTGGTGTGCGTTCAGTATAGGAGTCCTGATGCAGAGACATTTTCTGTGTCCTCTGCTTATAAACAATGCTTTGTCATTGTAGTGGCTTTCTCCAGAACAATGGTAGCAGGTCGGGACTCCAAGTCAGCTGGCTTTTGGGGTCCCCAGGGTTTAGAGGTGACATTTCTCCTATGGGTTTTTTTTTTTTTTTTGTTGGAACTGGCTGTTTTATAGGTCTCAGAATAAAGAGAGAAAGACAGACAGCAGGGGTCCTGGTATGGGAAGAGATGGACAGTTGGAGTCCTGGAGTCCCAGTATGAAGAGAGTTGGACAGCTGCAGTCCCATTATGAAGAGAGATTAATAGCTGGGGTCCCGGTATGAAGAGTTTTTGAGAGCTATAATCTCAGTATGGAGAAAGATGGATAGTTGAGGTCCCAGTTCGGAAAGAATGGACAGTTAGGGTCCCGGTATGGGAAGAGATGGACATTGGGAGTCCAAGTATGAAAAAAGATGGACAGCAGGAGTCCTGGTATGAAGAGAGTTGGGCAGCTGTGGTTCCAGAATAGAGAAAGATTAGACAGTTGGGGTCCCAGTATGGACCAAATGGACACTTAAGAGTCACAGAATGGAGAGAGATGGACAGCTGGGGTCCTAGTATGAAGAGAGGTGCACAGTCAGGGTCAGTATGAAGAGAGTAAGAGAGCTGCAACCACAGTTTGGAGAAAGATGGACAGCGGGGGTCCCAGTTTGGAAAGAAATGGACATTTAGATTCACAGTTTGGAGGGACACAGACAGATGGGGTCCTAGTATGGAAAAAAATGGACTGTTTGGGTCACAGTTTGAAGAAAGATGAACAGTTGGGGTGCCAGTATAAGGAGTGTTGAAAAGTTGTGGTCCCAGTATGGGGAAAAATGGACAGTTAGGGTCACAGAATGAAGAGAGATGGACAGTTGAGGTCCACAGTATGGACCGAGGTGGACAGTTGGTGTCCCAGTTGAAGTCCCGGAGTCACAGTATGAAGAGAGTTGGACAGCTGTAGTCCTAGTATAGAGAGAGATTGATAGCTGGGGTACTAGTATGAAGATAGTTAGAGAGCTGCAATCCCAGTATGGAGAAAGGTGGACAGTTAGGGTCCCAGTATGGAAAGAAATGGACATTTAGGGTCACAGAATGGAGAGAGATGGAAATGTTTGTCGTCACAGTATGGGGAAAGGTTGACAATTGGGTTTTAAGTATGAAGTAAGAGGAACACTAGGGCCAACGCTTTTTCTGAAATGTTGCAGATTTTTATATTTATGGTAACTTGATGGAGAATATCCAGGAAGAATTATCAGTCATTTTATACCTGATATCTGTCTGTGTGTTCCTTACCTTTCACTTGATCATTATTTTCTATTTAAGAATATTGTGGCAGATTTCTTGGTATATTACATTTTGCTTAGTATCACGCACTCCGACTCTTTTATTCCCTCTTCCTTGCAGGTCGAGGCATATGTTTTCCAGTAATAAAGTCCTGCGTGTTTGGCCATGAATCAAAGTCTTTGGCTCCTGATGAACCTTCATCTTCAGCCCGGGTAGACGGTGACCCTAGTACCACCCAGCAGGCTTTGAAACTCCTCTTCTGTGCGGCCGGACTCCAGGTGAGATGCAGAGACACTCGGGATGAGAACAGATGGGAGAGACCCGGGATGACAGTAGAAAGGAAAATCCTAGGATGAGAGTAGAAGACACCTGGGAAGAGAGAAGAAGACACCTGGGATGAGAGTAGAAGACACCTGGGATGAGCGTAGAAGACACCTGGGAGAGAGAAGAAGACACCTGGGATGAGAGTAGAAGACACCTGGGATGAGAGTAGAAGACACCTGGGATGAGAGTAGAAGACACCTGGGATGAGAGTAGAAGACACCTGGGATGAGAGTTGAAGACACCTGGGATGAGAGTAGAAGACACCTGGGATGAGAGTAGAAGACACCTGGGATGAGAGTTGAAGACACCTGGGATGAGAGTAGAAGACACCTGGGATGAGAGTAGAAGACACCTGGGATGAGAGTAGAAGACACCTGGGATGAGAGTAGAAGACACCTGGGATGAGAGTAGAAGACACCTGGGATGAGAGTAGAAGACACCTGGGATGAGAGAGTAGAAGGGAAGATACCTAGAACAAGAGAAGAAAGGAAAACAGCTGAGATGAGAGAGTGGGAGAAGGAGAAATACACTGGGATGAGAGTAGAAGGAGAAATACCTGGGATGAGAGTAGAAGGAGGACACCTGGAATACTAGTAGAAGGGAAACAGCTGAGATGAGAGTAGAAGGGGAAATACCTGGGATGAGAGTAGAAGGAGGACACCTGGAATACTAGTTGAAGGGAGACACCTGGAATACTAGTAGAAGGGAGATACCTGAGATGAGAGTAGAAGGGGAAATACCTGGGATGAGAGTAGAAGGGAGACACCTTGGACGAGAGTAGAAGGGAGACACCTTGGACGAGAGAGTAGATGTGGAGACACCTGGGACGAGAGTAGATGGGGAGATACCTGGGACGACGAGAGTAGATGGGGAGATACCTGGGACGAGAGTAGATGGGGAGATACCTGGGACGAGAGTAGATGGGGAGATACCTGGGACGAGAGTAGATGGGGAGATACCTGGGACGAGAGTAGATGGGGAGATACCTGGGACGAGAGTAGATGGGGAGATACCTGGGACGAGAGTAGATGGGGAGATACCTGGGACGAGAGTAGATGGGGAGATACCTGGGACGAGAGTAGATGGGAAGATACCTGGGACGAGAGTAGATGGGGATATACCGGGGTCGAGAGTTGAAGGGAGCCACCGAGACGAGAGTAAAAATGAGCCACCCGAGACGAGAGTAGAAGGGAGCCACCCGAGACGAGAGTAGAAGGGAGCCACCCGAGACGAGAGTAGAAGGGAGCCACCCGAGACGAGAGTAGAAGGGAGCCACCCGAGACGAGAGTAGAAGGGAGCCACCCGAGACGAGAGTAGAAGGGAGCCACCCGAGACGAGAGTAAAAGGGAGCCACCCGAGACGAGAGTAAAAGGGAGCCACCCGAGACGAGAGTAGAAGGGAGCCACCCGAGACGAGAGTAGAAGGGAGCCACCCGAGACGAGAGTAGAAGGGAGCCACCCGAGACGAGAGTAGAAGGGAGCCACCCGAGACGAGAGTAGAAGGGAGCCACCCGAGACGAGAGTAGAAGGGAGCCACCCGAGACGAGAGTAGAAGGGAGCCACCCGAGACGAGAGTAGAAGGGAGCCACCCGAGACGAGAGTAGAGGGGGAGCCACCCGAGACGAGAGTAGAAGGGAGCCACCCGAGACGGGATGAGAGTGAGAGTAATCAAGAGACCTAGGATGAGAATAGAATGGAGCCTCCTGGGATGAGAGTAGAAGGGAGCCTCCTGGGATGAGAGTAGAAGGGAGCCTCCTGGGATGACAGTAGAAGGGAGCCTCCTGGGATGACAGTAGAAGGGAGCCTCCTGGGATGAGAGTAGAAGGGAGCCTCCTGGGATGAGAGTAGAAGGGAGCCTCCTGGGATGAGAGTAGAAGGGAGCCTCCTGGGATGAGAGTAGAAGGGAGCCTCCTGGGATGAGAGTAGAAGGGAGCCTCCTGGGATGAGAGTAGAAGGGAGCCTCCTGGGATGAGAGTAGAAGGGAGCCTCCTGGGATGAGAGTAGAAGGGAGCCTCCTGGGATGAGAGTAGAAGGGAGCCTCCTGGGATGAGAGTAGAAGGGAGCCTGGGATGAGAGTAGAAGGGAGCCTCCTGGGATGAGAGTAGAAGGGAGAGACCTGGGATGAGAGTAGAAGGGAGAGACCTGGGATGAGAGTAGAAGGGAGAGACCTGGGATGAGAGTAGAAGGGAGAGACCTGGGACGAGTGTAGAAGGGAGCCACTCGGGACGAGAGCAGAAGGGAGACACCCGGGACGAGAGCAGAAGGGGGAGACACCCGGGACGAGAGCAGAAGGGGGAGACACCCGGGACGAGAGCAGAAGGGGGAGACACCCTGGGCGAGAGCAGAAGGGGGAGACACCCTGGGCGAGAGCAGAAGGGGGAGACACCCTGGGCGAGAGCAGAAGGGGGAGACACCCGGGGCGAGAGCAGAAGGGGGAGACACCCGGGGCGAGAGCAGAAGGGGGAGACACCCGGGGCGAGCGCAGAAGGGGGAGACACCCGGGGCGAGAGCAGAAGGGGGGGACACCCGGGATGAGAGCAGAAGGTATAACTGAACGATATCTTGGTAATCTGTGTTTTTCTCCTCTCAGATCTCCTATCTGACATGGGGTGTCCTGCAGGAGCGTGTTATGACCCGTACCTACACTGGCTCAGAACCCGGCAGCCCCGGAGAAAAGTTCAGAGACTCTCAATTCTTAGTGTTCATGAATAGGATCTTGGCCCTGACCGTGGCTGGAATCTACTGCGCCCTCACCAAACAGCCTCGTCATGGTGCGCCCATGTACAAATACTCATTTGCCTCTTTGTCCAACATCCTCAGCAGCTGGTGTCAGTACGAAGCTCTCAAGTTCATCAGTTTCCCCACCCAAGTCCTGGCTAAAGCCTCCAAGGTCATCCCCGTCATGTTGATGGGAAAGCTAGTCTCCCACAAGAGTTACGAGTATTGGGAGTATTTCACCGCTGTCCTCATCTCCATTGGGGTCAGCATGTTCCTGCTGTCCAACGGGGGAGATTCTCGTCCTTCCGGGGTCACCACTTTCTCCGGAGTGGTCATTTTAAGCGGCTACATCGTGTTCGACAGCTTCACGTCCAACTGGCAGGACTCTCTTTTCAAATACAAGATGTCTTCCGTTCAGATGATGTTCGGGGTCACCCTCTTCTCCTGCCTCTTCACCGTCTTCTCTCTGCTGGAGCAAGGTGGCCTTCAGGAGGCCATCCGCTTCATGACTCGCCACCCAGACTTCGCCTTCCACGCCGCCCTCCTCTCCGTCTGTTCGGCTTTCGGCCAGCTTTTCATCTTCTACACCATCAACAAGTTTGGGGCGGCCGTGTTCACCATCATTATGACTTTACGCCAGGCCCTGGCGATTCTCTTGTCGTGTTTGCTGTACGGTCACCCGGTCACGCCGATTGGCTCGGTGGGAGTGGCGGTGGTTTTCCTGGCCTTATTCCTTCGTGTCTACGCCCGAAGCCGGATGAAGAGGAAGGGGAGGAAGGCGGCTGATATTGTGGCGGTGCAGAAGGTGTAAAGCGCCTTTACGTCGTGACTGGCTCCGCCCTGCGACTTATTACCGACCTATTGGAAGGGTCCTTGTCTCCTGGACTGATGGGGAAGTTTAAAGCTGGCTGCTGCACTGGCTTTAATTGGCACACCATGGTGGAGATAACCTGAACTCTGTGTCCAACCATCTACCGCAGACCAAACTTTTCTGCAAGTGCAGAGCGAACGAAGTATTTGTGAGTTTTAGTTTGTTTTTTTTTGTTTTTTTTATTTTACTTTAGAAGCAATCAGCATTATTAAATGGTACATTTACATTGTCGTCTGATGTATTATTTATACTACCCAGGGGTGGACTGACCATTTGGAAACTCAAGCACTGCCCGAGGGCCCGGGGTCAGTAGGGGGCCCCATGAGATGCCCCTGGTACCTTTTTCATAGGCGTTTTTGAGTTTGGGCAAGGACACAGGGGCCCCATGATCCCCTATTGGCCGGGGGCCCATGAGTTGTCAGTCCGCCCTTGATACTACCTTAACATTTCTGTCTATTCCCTTAACCACCTCCTTTCCAGCCGTTGTATATAAACAGCCTCCCCGCACCCTGCTTGTGCACACTCCCTGGGAGCGCACAGCACCGCGATTCGGTGCCCGCTGTGTCCTCTGGACACAGTGGAACACCGATCGTTGGACGGGACCTCTGTGCGAGGTCCCGATCATGTGATCACTGATTGGCCAATCAGTGATCACATGCAGAGTAGTAAGCAAGATGTCCCTTCTGACATCATTGCTTACTACGTGTGAAATCTGTGAATGATCGCAGAGATCACATGGTACAGGGCTATTCACAACAAGCTTGTACCATGTGACAAGCTGTGACCAATCACAGCTCACACAGTATTTCTCAATGGCTGCAAGAAAGGAGGAGAAATGATTGCTTTTACAGCCTTTATAGGTGTAAAAGCAATCAGTGTAAAAAAAAAAAAAAAAAAAAAAACAAAATCATCACCCCCCAAAAGTAGTACATGGTGACACTGTACTGCTAGGGTGACAGTATGTAAAAAAAAAAAAACTTAAATAATAAAATAAAAATGTAAAAAAAAGTTTAAAAATTATAATTTTTGGTTATAAACTAATTTGGGTAATTTTTTTTTTTTTTTTACTAAAAAAGATGAGGTTAAGATTTATGATGAAATATTAATTATTTGCAAAATTTTATAAGAAAAACACTTTTTCTTTCAACATTTTTGGACTTTTTCATTTACATAGCAAAAAAAATAAAAATCCCAGCGGTGAATAAATACCACCAAAATAAAGCTTTATCTGTCTCAAAAAAATGCTAAAAAATTCATAAGGGTACAGTGTTGCATGACCGCGCAATTGTCATTCAAAATGTGATAGCGCTGAAAGCTGAAAATTGGACAGGAAGGGGGTGAAAGTGTCCGGACTGGAAGGGGGGGAAAGTGTCCGGACTGGAAGGGGGGGAAAGTGTCCGGACTGGAAGGGGGGGAAAGTGTCCGGACTGGAAGGGGGTGAAAGTGTCCGGACTGGAAGGGGGGGAAAGTGTCCGGACTGGAAGGGGGGGAAAGTGTCCGGACTGGAAGGGGGTGAAAGTGTCCCGACTGGAAGGGGGGGGAAAGTGTCCGGACTGGAAGGGGGTGAAAGTGTCCCGACTGGAAGGGGGGGGAGTGTCCGGACTGGAAGGGGGGGAGTGTCCGGACTGGAAGGGGGTGAAAGTGTCCGGACTGGAAGGGGGGGAGTGTCCGGACTGGAAGGGGGTGAAAGTGTCCGGACTGGAAGGGGGTGAAAGTGTCCGGACTGGAAGGGGGGGAAAGTGTCCAGACTGGAAGGGGGGGGAAAGTGTCCGGACTGGAAGGGGGGGAAAGTTTCCGGACTGGAAGGGGGGGAAAGTGTCCGGACTGGAAGGGGGTGAAAGTGTCCGGACTGGAAGGGGGGGAAAGTGTCCGGACTGGAAGGGGGGGAAAGTGTCCGGACTGGAAGGGGGGGAAAGAGTCCGGACTGGAAGGGGGGTGAAAGTGTCCGGACTGGAAGGGGGGGAAAGTGTCCGGACTGGAAGGGGGGGAAAGTGTCCGGACTGGAAGGGGGTGAAAGTGTCCGGACTGGAAGGGGGGGAAAGTGTCCGGACTGGAAGGGGGTGAAAGTGTCCGGACTGGAAGGGGGGGGGAGTGTCCGGACTGGAAGGGGGGGAGTGTCCGGACTGGAAGGGGGTGAAAGTGTCCGGACTGGAAGGGGGGTGAAAGTGTCCGGACTGGAAGGGGGGGAAAGTGTCCGGACTGGAAGTATTTAAAGTGCCTGTATTGCCAAAACTTGAATCCCCTGTGTGTCACCAGTTGGGGAGATTTCCTCTCACTTCCTGTCCCATAAACCCAACAGGAAATGTGAGAAAATTTCTACAAAGTTAAGGGAATTCCCCTCTCAGCTGCCACTAAGATAGGTGTCCCCATTGGAAGATTTTGCCTCTGTTCCTGTCCTGCATTTCCCATCACTCTCTATGTTCACCAGGACAAATAGAGAAGGAGAATCTCCCCAGCAGGGAACAGACAGCAAGACAAACATGACAGGGTTCTAACTAGTGGTGCACCAAAATGAAAATTCTGGGAACGAAACCACCGAAAATTCAGGATGCACTTGGCTGAAAACTGAAACAGTTTAGAAAAAAAAAATCTAATGTGGCTGGCATCTTTGCATTGAAGTCAATGGGATGTGATTTTGCATTTAAGTCAATGGGACGCGATTTTGCATTGAATTCTATGGGACTCGATTTTGCATTGAAATCAATGGGATGCGATTGTGCATTGAAGTCTGTGGGACGCGATTTTGCATTGAATTCTATGGGACTTGATTTTGCATTGAATTCTATGGGACTCGATTTTGCATTGAACTCTATGGGACGCGATTGTGCATTGAATTCTATGGGACGCGATTTTGCATTGAATTCTAGGGGACGCAATTTTGCATTGAACTCTAGGGGACGCGATTTTTGCATTGAATTCTAGGGGACGCGATTTTGCATTGAAGTCGATGGGACGCGATTGTGCATTGAAGTCGGTAGGACGCGATTTTGCATTTAAGTCAATGGGACGCGATTTTGCATTGAATTCTATGGGACTCGATTTTGCATTGAAATCAATGGGATGCGATTGTGCATTGAAGTCTGTGGGACGCGATTTTGCATTGAATTCTATGGGACTTGATTTTGCATTGAATTCTATGGGACGCTATTGTGCATTGAAGTCTATGGGACGCAATTGTGCATTGAAGTTGATGGGATGTTTTTTTTTTTTTCCATCTACCTCCCGCTGACCTCGAGATTGTGGGCCATCCATCGGTGGGCGATGTCAGGCTCGGAACATCCATGTCTGTACGCAGTTTTGAATTACGATCCAGTTGCACGGTCCTAATAAATCTGCCGTATGTCATTCATCTCTTGGCCTCCATGACACTCTTGCACCTGGAACGGCGCTCCTTGCTGATCTTTGTAGTACTTTTCCATTTAGTTCATGTGTTATCCGTGAGCTGCCTTCCCTGTGGTGTTAACCCCTCCCCCTCCAGAGGATTCCCTCCCCCTTTCTGACCAGGCTATTTTTTGCGTTACAGCACTGTTACTTTATTTGACAATTGCGCGGTCATGCAACCCTGTAGCCAAATTAAATTTATGTCCTTTTTTTTCCTCACAAATAGTGCTTTCTTTCGGTGATATTTGATCGCCTGTGCGGGTTTTTTTCTGTTGCGCTATAAATTTTAAAAAAACCGACAATTTTGAGAAAAAAAAACTATATTTTTGACTTTTTGTTATAAAACACGCCAGTAAAAAAAACTTAAAAAATCAAATTTCGTCATAAATTTAGGCCAAAAGGCATTCTTGCTAAAAAAAAAAAAAAAAAATCCCAATACGTGTAAATTGGTTTACGTGACAGTTATAGCGTCTACAAATGGCGGTATAGATTCTGGAAATTCTTTTTTTTGTACTAATAATGGCAGCAATCAAGTGACTTCTAGCGGGACTGCGGCGGACATTCTGACACGGGGGGGGGGGGGGGGGGACTGGCTTGGTGTCACTGACATCCCCAGTGACACCAATACAATGATCAGTGCTAATAAAAAGCACTGACACTGTACTAATGGCACTGGGCAGGAAGGGGTTAACATGAGGGCGATCCAAAAAAAGACAGACAATTTTGAGAAAAAAAAACAATATTTTGGACTTTTTGTTATTAAACACGTCCAGTAAAAATTTTTTTAAAATCAAATCTTGTCATAAATTTAGGCCAAAATGTATTCTTTTCCGTGTCTTTGCTAAAAAAAAAAAAATCCCAATATGTGTAAATTACTTGGTTTTTGTGAAGTTATAGCGTCTACAAATGGCGGTATATATACTGGAATTTTTTTTTTTTGTACCAATAATGGCGGCGATCAGCGACTTATAGCGGGACTGCGGCGGGCATTCTGACACCGGGGGGGAACTGTTTTTTTTTTTTTTTTTTTTTTTTTTTTTTTACTATCAATGGCGGCGATGAGCGACTTACAGCGGGACTGTGACGGGCATTCTGACACAGGGGGGGGGGGGAACTGACTTGGTGTCACTGACATCCCCAGTGACACCAATACAGTGATCAGGGCTAATAAAAAGCACTGACACTGTACTAATGGCACTGGGCAGGAAGGGGTTAATGTGAGGGCTGATCAAAGGGTTAACTGTGTGCTGGGAGTGTTTTACTAGGGGGGACGGGGGTGTGCTTGACTGTAAGCACACTGATCAGGATGGCTGTGCTGTGCAATGTGCTCGAGCTGACAGGGAGGAAGATGGTTTGTAAACAAAACCATCTTCCTTCCCGTCAGAGATGCTTGCTAATCACTGGACACTGGCGGTAATCAATGGCAGTGGGCAGGAAGGGGTTAACATGAGGGGCGATCAATGGGTTAACTGTGTGCTGTTTCACAATGGGATGTGGGCTTCACTGTAAGCACACTGCTTTGTATGGCTCTGCTATGCTGACAGGGTGCAGGAGATCTGAGAGATCTGTATAGTTTACAAACGAGTCTCTCCCCCGTTGGAGATACTCAGCGATCACCAGGTGCCTGCGAATAATCACCGGACGGGACCCGGGTGCCTGCGAATAATCACCGGACGGGACCCGGGTGCCTGCGAATAATCACCGGACGGGACCCGGGTGCCTGCGAATAATCACCGGACGGGACCCGGGTGCCTGCGAATAATCACCGGACGGGACCCGGGTGCCTGCGAATAATCACCGGACGGGACCCGGGTGCCTGCGAATAATCACCGGACGGGACCCGGGTGCCTGCGAATAATCACCGGACGGGACCCGGGTGCCTGCAAATAATCACCGGACGGGACCCGGGTGCCTGCAAATAATCATCGTATGGGACCCGGGTGCCTGCGAATAATCACCGGACGGGACCCGGGTGCCTGCGAATAATCACCAGACGGGATGCAGGTGCCTGCGAATAATCACCAGACAGGACCCAGTGATTGATGGCAGAAGCTGCGAATGGTGGTGCGGTTTGGGGTGGCGTGCATCCCCCCCCTACCCACAACTGCAAAATTGTGTATATATACGTGATTTTGCGCACCCTTGCTGCCCTGTTGCAGTATTTCTGCTGTAGGGCGGCACTGAACTGGTTAAACATTCGTATTCCAGGGACGTCTGAGTGCCCAGTTTCTGTGTTTTTCGTGATGACGGTTTGAGCAATCCTTGCTGTGACCAACATCAGCAGCGCTGCCAGGATGCAGGCTTCCCACGCTCCGCTCCCATGCGTCTTCCCTCCAGCCACGGATTGTACGCCGGGAACGCTCTACAATTCAATGTTATAAATCTTCAGAGCAAAACAATTCTACTTGAAGGACACAATCGATTTTCAGGGAAGGAATAAAGAACGCAGATATGATCTTGGCAGTTGGAAATCATTTGGCCTCGTGCACACAGAGCGTGCAAAACCACAGCTGGTAGAGGCCATACATGGGTCAAAATTCGGACCTAAGAATAATCGGACGATTTTCGCTCTGTTAGTGGGGTCAATGGCACCGGACGATTTTCGTGGTTCCTCCCCTTTTCAGTGAGCGTTGCAAAATTTGTGAAAAACGACCGATTTTCGACTCGATGGTCAAATCGTACGATCGTTTTTCCGAAAAGAATATGCGCCATGAGCCGTGACCTGGAAGGAACAGAAGTGTCACCTGTTATATGGGGTGAACTTTATGACTTGGCTGGCCGATTTTCAAAATCATCGATGGCGCCATTGGATGACCAAGCGAACCTTTTTTAATTTTCGGATGAAAAATTGTTCGGAATTATCCACATTAGTCTATGGGGGAGATTTAAGCGGGCCATACACTGGTCGAATTCCAAAAGAATTTTCCTTTCAAAAATCTTTTCTAAGAATTTTCGTTCAAATTTTGCACCATTAATGGGTCGCAGAATGGACGATTTTTCATGTGACTGTCGAATTTGAGTGATGGGGCATGTTGGAAATTTTTTGAACAACGAACGAATTTCGAATTAATGATGGGACAATCGTGCAAGAAATATAAAGCCGGGACCTGGAAAGAAAAGAAAATTCTTGGCCACGAAAATTCTTTTCTGTAGCAACATGAGAAATTGAAGGCTCGGTTGGTTGAATTATGAAATCAATGGTGGTGCCATCGGATTACAAAACGCACAAAATTTCCAATTCTCTAAAGAAAATTTGTTCAGAATTCGACTCGTGTATGGCCTGCATTATAGTCCTCATGCACACTTCACGTTTGTACAGCGGCTGTTGTTGGCTTTTGAAGTTTTTTTACTTTTTTTTTTTTCTACAGCCAGTAAACCCCCCAGCATGTTCTCCTATGTGTCCATCCCCGGCATGTTCTATGTGTCCATCCCCGGCATGTTCTCCTATGTGTCCATCCCCGGCATGTTATCCTATGTGTCCATCCCCGGCATGTTATCCTATGTGTCCATCCCCGGCATGTTCTCCTATTTGTCCATCCCCGGCATGTTATCCTATGTGTCCATCCCCGGCATGTTCTCCTGTGTGTCCATCCCCAGCATGTTCTCCTGTGTGTCCATACCCGGCATGTTCTCCTATGTGTCCATCCCCGGCATGTTCTCCTATGTGTCCATCCCCGGCATGTTCTCCTATGTGTCCATCCCCAGCATGTTCTCCTATGTGTCCATCCCCGGCATGTTCTCCTATGTGTCCATCCCCGGCATGTTATCCTATGTGTCCATCCCCGGCATGTTCTCCTATGTGTCCATCCCCGGCATGTTCTCCTATTTGTCCATCCCAGGCATGTTCTCCCCGGCATGTTATCCTATGTGTCCATCCCCGGCATGTTATCCTATGTGTCCATCCCTGGCATGTTCTCCTATGTGTCCATCCCCGGCATGTTCTCCTCCTATGTGTCCATCCCCGGCATGTTATCCTATGTGTCCATCCCCGGCATGTTCTCCTATGTGTCCATCCCTGGCATGTTCTCCTCCTATGTGTCCATCCCCGGCATGTTCTCCTATGTGTCCATCCCCGGCACGTTCTCCTATGTGTCCATCCCCGGCACGTTCTCCTATGTGTCCATCCCCGGCACGTTCTCCTATGTGTCCATCCCCGGCACGTTCTCCTATGTGTCCATCCCCGGCACGTTCTCCTATGTGTCCATCCCCGGCACGTTCTCCTATGTGTCCATCCCCGGCACGTTCTCCTGTGTGTCCATCCCCGGCATGTTCTCCTGTGTGTCCATCCCCGGCATGTTCTCCTGTGTGTCCATCCCCGGCATGTTCTCCTGTGTGTCCATCCCCGGCATGTTCTCCTGTGTGTCCATCCCCGGCATGTTATCCTACGTGTCCATCCCCGGCATGTTCTCCTACGTGTCCATCCCCGGCATGTTCTCCTACGTGTCCATCCCCGGCATGTTCTCCTACGTGTCCATCCCCGGCATGTTTCCTACGTGTCCATCCCCGGCATGTTCTCCTACGTGTCCATCCCCGGCATGTTCTCCTACGTGTCCATCCCCGGCATGTTCTCCTGCGTGTCCATCCCCGGCATGTTCTCCTGCGTGTCCATCCCCGGCATGTTTCTCCTGCGTGTCCATCCCCGGCATGTTCTCCTGCGTGTCCATCCCCGGCATGTTCTCCTGCGTGTCCATCCCCGGCATGTTCTCCTGCGTGTCCATCCCCGGCATGTTCTCCTGCGTGTCCATCCCCGGCATGTTCTCCTGCGTGTCCATCCCCGGCATGTTCTCCTGTGTGTCCATCCCCGGCATGTTCTCCTATGTGTCCATCCCCGGCATGTTCTCCTATGTGTCCATACACACATGGAATCAGCGTTTTTTAGCTGGGAAAAAAAAACCCAGGACTAGTGGGTTTCTAGAGGAGTTTTTTAGCTGTAAAAATGTAACAAAACACGGTAAAAAGCTGCAAAACAGCATTTTTGGATGTTTTTTTGTCAAAAAAAAATGCTAAAACCCGCAAACGTGGGAAAAATCCGCAAAACAAAGCTAATGCAAAAACACAAAAAAAACCTGAAAAACTCAAGTTTTTTAATGTGAGTTGACACAGCTAACGTTACCTTTTTATCAAAACGTCCCGTGTGTGTGAGACTAATGCAGGCCATAGACGGGTCAAAAATCGTCCGTTAAAAAAAAAAAACAAAAAACGACAAATCGCTCGTTCGATCGGCCGATGTTACCACCAACGGTAAAAAAATTGGCCGATTTTCGTCTTGTCTATGGCTGGCATTTAACCCCACAATTACTTCTGTCCCTTGCAGAGACAGGGGAGCAATAGATAAGAAGAAGAAGAAGCAGAATTCCAGTCCGCTATTATATTTTACATGGAAAGTCTTGCGGTTGCAACAATGTATCCATTTGTATCCGAATAAAAAACATCTGTATCCGAAATGGATACATATGGATACATTGTTGCAACCGCAAGACTTTCCATGTAAAATATAATAGCGGACTGGAATTCTTCTTCTTCCTTTCTCCTCTTCCTTCTTCCTCCTTCTTCTTCTTCTTCTTCTTCTTCCTTCTTCCTTCTTCTCCTTCTTCTTCTTCTTCTTCTTCTTCCTCTTCTTCTTCTTCTTCTTCTTCTTCTTCCTTCTTCTTCTTCTTCTTACCTCTTCCTTTTCTTGTTCTTCTTCCTTCTTTCTTCTTCTACTTTTTATTTTTCTTTTTCTTCTTCCAGGTCACGGCTCATGCGCAGATTTTTTTATCGGTAAAACAATCGGCCGATTTGCCCATCATTGCCGGAGAAAATCGGCCGATCGTCAAAATCGGCTGCAAATTTTCCAACATGCCCGATAAAAAAAAATGCAAAAAGCCCGAAAAACGGCCGACCAATTAACCCACTAACGGTGCAAAAATCGGCCGTTTTTTTTTTTTTTTTTGCGGGCCGCAAAATCGCCCGATTTTCGACCCATCTATGGCTGGCATTACTAAAACTGGACCACTCAGAATCTGCACAGCAGCCAATCGGCTTCTAAAGTTGGCCATACATGAGCCAAATTCCAAACGTTTTCTTTCGAAAGTCTTTTCTAAGAATTTTCGTTCGAATTTCGCACCATTAGTGGGCCACAGAAACAGCCGACTTTTGTGCGACTGCCAAATTTAAGTGATCTGGCATGTTGGAAATTTTTTGAAAAATGAACGAATTTCTAATCGATGGGAGATTCATGCGAGAAATATAATGGAAAGAGAAACAAGAGTGAGCTGTGAGCTGGAAAGAAAAGAAAATTCTTGGCCACAAAATTCTTTTTTACAGCAACATGGAAAATTGAAGGCTTGGTTGATCGAATTTCTAAATCAATGGTGGTGCCATCGGATTACAAAACACAAATTTTCTAAAGAAATTTTGTACAGAATTTGACCCATGAATGGCCTACCTACTTCAGCTTGTTCAATTAACCCCCCCTGGCGGTATTCCCGAGTGTAGCTCGGGGTAAAGTTTCAGCACCACAAGCGGTAACCCCCCCGAGCTACACTCGGGAATACACTGCAGCGTTGCTCCGGGATCTCTTCTGCACTTACCTTGACCTTCACTCCCGCGATGTCCCCCCTGCAGTGTCCCCGGCAATGTCCTCCAGCCGATGCCGGCATCTGTCTTCCGGGTTCCGTTCCCTGCGACGTCGGGACGTACGGGGGGATGGAACTGGCGGGAAATTCAAAAATGTGAAAAAGTGACATTCACTAAATACACTAAAATCACATAGTATAACATTCCTGTATCAAACCATTTCACATACATTTTGTCCCGAGTGCTTTGTCCGGCGCCCTGCCTGCATTATTACTGTTCTTTCTGCCTGGAAACTGAGAAACGTCCATGGCGTCCAAAAAGCGTCCCTTTAGGTCAGACGCGGTTTTAGACCGGCTAGAGAACAGCGATAGTAAATCAGAACCACTTGCAGAATTGAGTGATAATGATTGGTGGGGGAAATTCCTCATCAGACACTGAAAACGATTCTGCGACTTTGCTCAGCGATGTGCGAACTTGGCGCTCTATTTCACATTTCAGTTTTTTGGTTTGATTATATTATTGAATTAAATTTTTTTTGTTATTTATGATTATTTATTATATTATAATTTATGATTTCGTGTTTCAAGTTTTTTCCTCCCCGGGATGTTTACTAGACTCTTGTCCGGACAGATTTCAGTGAGTTATTCCTAAGAATTACAGCCTACAATAAAAAAAATACACATTTCCATGCAAAAAAATGTACCGCTTTGAGCACAGAAATATGGACATAATCAGACCGCTAGGGAGGTTTAAGCTTTGGCAGTAAAACCTGGAAGCTGATTGGTTGCTATGCAGAGCTGCACCAGATTCTGCACTCTCCGGTTTTAGTAAATAACCCCCCGCAGTGTCCTCGCACACATAGGAGTTTACAGAAAAACAATCACTTTTCAAGAGAGGAGTGTTTTAAAGGAAAAAAAAAAAAAGCTAGAAGTCCCGAAACGCATCTAGATGCTAGGCATGTTTGGTGATTGAACGTTCATTCATTTCAAAGGCCTAAACACATCAAAACGCATGATATGGGAAAGGACGCCGCTCTAACCGCACGTGGAATCGTGTATAAAGATGGCCTCAGCCGTCGCAACGGCCATGCCCTGTGACGCGTTTCACCCCGCCCATCGGGGCTTGATCACTGAGGACTCATCTGTGATCAAGCCACGGTGGGCTGGGAAAAACGCAACAGTAGTGTTAGTTTAAGAATAGCCTACGAGTACGTGGCCCTCAAACAGCGAAAGTGACCATGAAAATGTGAGAGAGCAGTCACTGTCTGTAGCATCCTCTTAATAGTCATTGAGAGCAGTTAGTTTGTATTGCAGTGCCCCTATATATGAGAGCAGTCAGTTTATATTGCAGTGCCCCTATATATGAGAGCAGTCAGTTTTATATTGCAGTGCCCCTATATATGAGAGCAGTCAGTTTATATTGCAGTGCCCCTATATATGAGAGCAGTCAGTTTATATTGCAGTGCCCCTATATATGAGAGCAGTCAGTTTGTATTGCAGTGCCCCTATATATGAGAGCAGTCAGTTTATATTGCAGTGCCCCTATATATGAGAGCAGTCAGTTTTTGTATTGCAGTGCCCCTATATATGAGAGCAGTCAGTTTGTATTGCAGTGCCCCTATATATGAGAGCAGTCAGTTTATATTGCAGTGACCCTATATATGAGAGCAGACAGTTTGTATTGCAGTGCCCCCTATATATGAGAGCAGTCAGTTTATATTGCGGTGACCCTATATATGAGAGCAGACAGTTTTATATTGCGGTGACCCTATGTATGAGAGCAGTCAGTTTATATTGCAGTGCCCCTATATATGAGAGCAGTCAGTTTATATTGCAGTGCCCTATATATGAGAGCAGTCAGTTTATATTGCAGTGCCCCTATATATGAGAGCAGTCAGTTTATATTGCAGTGCCCCTATATATGAGAGCAGTCAGTTTATATTGCGGTTACCCTATATATGAGAGCAGTCAGTTTATATTATTAATTATTATTATTATACAGTATTTATAAAGCGCCAATAGTTCGCTCAGTGCTGTACATTACAAAGGGGGACAGAACATGTGACAGAACAATACCAATACAATGCAAAACATGAGGGGATTGAGGGCCCTGCTCTTTCGAGCTTACAATCTAGGAGGGAGGGGATGGTGGCACAGGAGGAGATAGTCTGTGGGGGATGGGGTGGTAGGAAGAGTGGAGGAGGGAGGCAAGTTAGCAGGGGGTGGGGTAGGCTTCCCTGAAGAGATGGGTTTTTCAGGGTGCGCCTAAAGGAGAGGAGAGTAGGTGATAATCTGATGGGTTGGGGCAGGGAGTTCCAGAGGATGGGTGACACCCTGGAGAAGTCCTGGAGGCGGGCATGGGAGGAGGAGACCAGGGAACTAGAGAGAAGGAGGTCTTGTGAGGAGCGGAGTTTATATTGCAGTGACCCTATATATGAG